ACCCTGGCGTTGCAAACGCCATGCTCTACCAACTGAGCTACATCCCCTGCCGGCCAAATCCCTCCCCTACCCTGGACGACGCTGGGCCAATTGTGCGCGCCGCCCCATGGGTCTCCCTATCTATATAGCTCTATACCTATCCATATAGCTCTATACCATATAGCTCTATACCTATCCATATAGCTCTATACCATATAGCTCTATACCTATCTATATAGCTCTATACCTATCCATATAGCTCTATACCTATCCATATAGCTCTATACCTATCTATATAGCTCTATACCTATCTATATAGCTCTATACCTATCTATATAGCTCTATACCATATAGCTCTATACCTATCCATATAGCTCTATACCTATCCATATAGCTCTATACCTATATATATAGCTCTATACCTATCTATATACCTCTATACCTATCTATATAGCTCTATACCTATCTATATAGCTCTATACCATATAGCTCTATACCTATCCATATAGCTCTATACCTATCCATATAGCTCTATACCTATCTATATAGCTCTATACCTATCTATATAGCTCTATACCTATCTATATAGCTCTATACCATATAGCTCTATACCTATCCATATAGCTCTATACCTATCCATATAGCTCTATACCTATATATATAGCTCTATACCTATCTATATAGCTCTATACCTATCCATATAGCTCTATACCATATAGCTCTAAACCTATCTATATAGCTCTATACCTATCTACAGTGGCTTGCGAAAGTATTCACCCCCCTTGGCATTTTTCCTATTTTGTTGCCTTAAAACCTGGAATTAAAATGGATTTTTGGGGGGTTTGTATCATTTGATTTACACCACATACTACCTACCACTTTGAAGATGCAAAATATTTTTTATTGTGAAACAAACAAGAAATAAGAAAAAAAAACAGAAAACTTGAGTGTGCATCACTATTCACCGTATATAGCTCTATACTTATCCATATAGCTCTATACCTATCCGTATAGCTCTATACCTATCCGTATAACTCTATACCTATCCGTATAGCTCTATACCTATCCATATAGCTCTATACCTATCCATATAGCTCTATACCTATCTATATAGCTCTATACCTATCTACAGTGCCTTGCAAAAGTATTCATCCCCCTTGGCGTTTTGCCTATTTTGTTGCATTACAACCTGTAATTTAAATTATTTTTATTTGGATTTCATGTAATGGACATACACAAAATAGTCCAAATTGGTGAAGTGAAATGAACTTTCAAAAAATTATAAAAAATAAATACCGGAAAACTGGTGCGTGCATATGTATTCACCCCCTTTGCTATGAAGCCCCTAAATAAGATCTGGTGCAAACAATTACCTTCAGAAGTCAAATAATTAGTTAAATAAAGTCCACCTGTGTGCAATCTAAGTGTCACATGATCTGTCATATGATCTCAGTATATATACACCTGTTCTGAAAGGCCCCAGAGTCTGCAACACCACTAAGCAAGGGGCACCACCAAGCAAGCGGCACCATGAAGACCAAGGAGCTCTCCAAACAGGTCAGGGACAAAGTTGTGGAGAAGTACAGATCAGGGTTGGGTTATAAAACAATATCCGAAACTTTGAACATCCCATGGATAAATCCATTATTAAAAATTGGAAAGAATATGGCACCACAACAAACCTGCCAAGAGAGGGCCGCCCACCAAAACTCACGGACCAGGCAAGGAGGGCATTCATCAGAGTGGCAACAAAGAGACCAAAGATAACCCTGAAGGAGCTGTAAAGCTCCACAGCGGAGATTGGAGTATCAGTCCATAGGACCACTTTAAGCCGTACACTACACAGAGCTGGGCTTTATGGAAAAGTGGCCAGAAAAAAGCCATTGCTTACAGAAAAAAATAAGAAACACGTTTGGTGTTCACCAAAAGGCACGTGGGAGACTCCCCAAACATATGGAAGAAGGTACTCTGCTCAGATGAGACTAAAATTGAGCTTTTTGGCCATCAAGGAAAATGCTCTGTCTGGCGCAAACCCAACACCTCTCATCACCTGAGAACACCATCCCCACAGTGAAGCATGGTGGTGGCAGCATCATGCTGTGGAGATGTTTTTCATCGGCAGGGACTGGGAAACTGGTCAGAATTGAAGGAATGATGGATGGCGCGAAATACAGGGAAATTCTTGAGGGAAACCTGTTTCAGTCTTCCAGAGATTTGAGACTGGGACGGAGGTTCACCTTCCAGCAGGACAATGACCCTAAGCATACTGCTAAAGCAACACTTGAGTGGTTTAAGGGGAAACATTTAAATGTCTTGGTATGGCCTAGTCAAAGCCCAGACCTCAATCCAATTGAGAATCTGTGGTATGACTTAAAGATTGCTGTACACCAGCGGAACCCATCCAACTTGAAGGAGCTGGAGCAGTTTTGCCTTGAAGAATAGGAAAAATGCCAAGGGGGGGTGAATACTTTTGCAAATATTCCTATCTACAGTGGGGAGAACAAGTATTTGATACACTGCTGATTTGCAGGTTTTCCTACTTACAAAGCATGTAGAGGTCTGTAATTTCTATCATAGGTACACTTCAACTGTGAGAGACGGAATCTAAAACAAAAATCCAGAAAATCACATCGTATGATTTTTAAGTAATTCATTTGCATTTTATTGCATGACATAAGTATTTGATCACCTACCAACCAGTAAGAATTCCGGCTCTCACAGACCTGTTAGTTTTTCTTTAAGAAGCCCTCCTGTTCTCCACTCATTACCTGTATTAACTGCACCTGTTTGAACTCGTTACCTGTATAAAAGACACCTGTCCACACACTCAATCAAACAGACTCCAACCTCTCCACAATGGCCAAGACCAGAGAGCTGTGTAAGGACATCAGGGATAAAATTGTAAACCTGCACAAGGCTGGGATGGGCTACAGGACAATAGGCAAGCAGCTTGGTGAGAAGGCAACAACTGTTGGCGCAATTATTAGAAAATAGAAGAAGTTCAAGATGACCATCAATCACCTCGGTCTGTGGCTCCATGCAATATCTCACCTCGTGGGGCATTAATGATCATGAGGAAGGTGAGGGATCAGCCCAGAACTACACGGCAGGACCTGGTCAATGACCTGAAGAGAGCTGGGACCACAGTCTCAAAGAAAACTATTAGTAACACACTACGCCGTCATGGATTAAAATCCTGCAGCGCACGCAAGGTCCCCCTGCTCAAGTCAGCGCATGTCCAGGCCCGTCTGAAGTTTGCCAATGACCATCTGGATGATCCAGAGGAGGAATGGGAGAAGGTCATGTGGTCTGATGAGACAGAAATAGAGCTTTTTGGTCTAAACTCCACTCGCCGTGTTTGGAGGAAGAAGAAGGATGAGTACAACCCCAAGAACACCATCCCAACCGTGAAGCATGGAGGTGGAAACATCATTCTTTGGGGATGCTTTTCTGCAAAGGGGACAGGACGACTGCACCGTATTGAGGGGAGGATGGATGGGGCCATGTATCGTGAGATCTTGGCCAACAACCTCCTTCCCTCAGTAAGAGCATTGAAGATGGGTCGTGGCTGGGTCTTCCAGCATGACAACGACCCGAAACACACAGCCAGGGCAACTAAGGAGTGGCTCCGTAAGAAGCATCTCAAGGTCCTGGAGTGGCCTAGCCAGACTCCAGACCTGAACCCAATAGAAAATCTTTGGAGGGAGCTGAAAGTCCGTATTGCCCAGCGACAGCCCCGAAACCTGAAGGATCTGGAGAAGGTCTGTATGGAGGAGTGGGCCAAAATCCCTGCTGCAGTGTGTGCAAACCTGGTCAAGACCTACAGGAAACGTATGATCTCTGTAATTGCAAACAAAGGTTTCTGTACCAAATATTAAGTTCTGCTTTTCTGATGTATCAAATACTTATGTCATGCAATAAAATGCAAATGAATTACTTAAAAATCATACAATGTGATTTTCTGGATTTTTGTTTTAGATTCCGTCTCTCACAGTTGAAGTGTACCTATGATAAAAATTACAGACCTCTACATGCTTTGTAAGTAGGAAAACCTGCAAAATCGGCAGTGTATCAAATACTTGTTCTCCCCACTGTAGCTCTATACCTATCCATATAGCTCTATACATGTCCATATAGCTCTATACCTATCTATATAGCTCTATACCTATCCATATAGCTCTATACCTATCCATATAGCTCTATACCTGTCAATATAGCTCTATACATGTCAATATAGCTCTATACATGTCAATATAGCTCTATACCATATAGCTCTATACCTATCCATATAGCTCTATACCTATCCATATAGCTCTATACCTATCCATATAGCTCTATACCTATCTATATAGCTCTATACCTATCCATATAGCTCTATACCTATCTATATAGCTCTATACCTATCCATATAGCTCTATACCATATAGCTCTATACCTATCCATATAGCTCTATACCTATCCATATAGCTCTATACCTACAGTGGGGAAAAAAAGTATTTGGTCAGCCACCAATTGTGCAAGTTCTCCCACTTAAAAAGATGAGAGAGGCCTGTAATTGTCATCATAGGTACACGTCAACTATGACAGACAAAATGAGAAAAAATTATCCAGAAAATCACATTGTAGGATTTTTTATGAATTTATTGGCAAATGATGGTGGAAAATAAGTATTTGGTCAATAACAAAAGTTTCTCAATACTTTGTTATATACACTTTGTTGGCAATGACACAGGTCAAACGTTTTCTGTAAGTCTTCACAAGGTTTTCACACACTGTTTCTGGTATTTTGGCCCATTCCTCCATGCAGATCTCCTCTAGAGCGGTGATGTTTTGAGGCTGTCGCTGGGCAACACGGACTTTCAACTCCCTCCAAAGATTTTCTATGGGGTTGAGATCTGGAGACTGGCTAGGCCACTCCAGGACCTTGAAATGCTTCTTACGAAGCCACTCCTTCGTTGCCCGGGCGGTGTGTTTGGGATCATTGTCATGCTGAAAGACTCAGCCACGTTTCATCTTCAATGCCCTTGCTGATGGAAGGAGGTTTTCACTCAAAATCTCACGATACATGGCCCCATTCATTCTTTCCTTTACACGGATCAGTCGTCCTGGTCCCTTTGCAGAAAAACAGCCCCAAAGCATGATGTTTCCACCCCCATGCTTCACAGTAGGTATGGTGTTCTTTGGATGCAACTCAGCATTCTTTGTCCTCCAAACATGACGAGTTGAGTTTTTACCAAAAAGTTATATTTTGGTTTCATCTGACCATATGACATTCTCCCAATCCTCTTCTGGATCATCCAAATGCACTTCAGACGGGCCTGGACATGTACTGGCTTAAGCAGGGGGACACGTCTTGCACTGCAGGATTTGAGTCCCTGGCGGCGTAGTGTGTTACTGATGGTAGGCTTTGTTACTTTGGTCCCAGCTCTCTGCAGGTCATTCACTATGTCCCCCCGTGTGGTTCTGGGATTTTTGCTCACCGTTCTTGTGATCATTTTGACCCCACGGGGTGAGATCTTGCGTGGAGCCCCAGATCGAGGGAGATTATCAGTGGTCTTGTATGTCTTCCATTTCCTAATAATTGCTCCCACAGTTGATTTCTTCAAACCAAGCTGCTTACCTATTGCAGATTCAGTCTTCCCAGCCTGGTGCAGGTCTACAATTTTGTTTCTGGTGTCCTTTGACAGCTCTTTGGTCTTGGCCATAGTGGAGTTTGGAGTGTGACTGTTTGAGGTTGTGGACAGGTGTCTTTTATACTGATAACAAGTTCAAACAGGTGCCAGTAATACAGGTAACGAGTGGAGGACAGAGGAGCCTCTTAAAGAAGTTGTTACAGGTCTGTGAGAGCCAGAAATCTTGCTTGTTTGTAGGTGACCAAATACTTATTTTCCACCATAATTTGCAAATAAATTCATAAAAAATCCTACAATGTGATTTTCTGGATTTTTTTTCCTCAATTTGTCTGTCATAGTTGACGTGTACCTATGATGAAAATTACAGGCATCTCTCATCTTTTTAAGTTGGAGAACTTGCACAATTGGTGGCTGACTAAATACTTTTTTTCCCCACTGTATCTATATAGCTCTATACCTATCCATATAGCTCTATACCATATAGCTCTATACCTATCCATATAGCTCTATACCTATCCATATAGCTCTATACCTATCTATATAGCTCTATACCTATCTATATAGCTCTATACATGTCCATATAGCTCTATACCTATCTATATAGCTCTATACATGTCCATATAGCTCTATACCATATAGCTCTATACCTATCCATATAGCTCTATACCTATCCATATAGCTCTATACCTATCAGAATGCATCAGATCTACTAAAGTGACGAGGGATGAGAGACTAGGGACAAGGGATGAGGGACTAGGGGATTATTTGGGATTCAGAATAAGAGTGTGGTGTTGTGTTCTGCAGTGGAGGCCTCTGAGGGGAGGACGGCTCATAATAATGGCTGGAACGAAGCAAATGGAATTGCATCAAACACATGTGTTTGATGTTGTTGAAACCATTCCGTTCCAGCCTGTGTTGTTCTGATGGGTGTCTATACAGAGTCTCTGAGCTGGCCGGAGGTGGAGAGAGTGGTCAGACAGTTTGTGTTTGAGAGCATGCCCCTGACCCAGCTGGAGGAGGGGGGCCTACTGACCTCTGCTGGTTCCCCTCAACCTACCTGCCTGCCCTGGGACGACCCTGTCAGCTTCGCCAAGAACTACCTCAGACACAGCAACAAGACACAAGGTACAGACGTTGCTATGAACTCTGACACTAGGGATGTTAACGCTTAACCATTAATCGGTTAGCCGCCTAAAATACATTTGACCGGTCATGCTTATCGGTCTATAGGTTAATTTGTATAATTTAGTGGAATTAAATTGGTGTGTATTTTCGTTAGTCGTCATGCATCTTATTTATCACAGGCGCATGGCATACAGAGCCTAGTTTGAGGAGAGGAATATCCTGCCACCTGTCAGACAGCGCCAGAGTAGCTCCTCAAAAAGCCTGTAGGTTACTGGAGTGAAACCTGCTTTTGTAAGCCTAGTCATTGCGCAACAAATAACAATTCTAAATGCAATTGCGTGTTAAAAATAGCTTCTTTTTTTTTTTTACTCTGACACATTGGCCTGTATCCAGACTAGTCTACTACCAGATCTGTTGGTCTGAATCCAGACTAGTCTACTACCAGATCTGTTGGTCTGAATCCAGACTAGTCTACTACCTGATCTGTTGGTCTGAATCCAGACTAGTCTACTACCAGATCTGTTGGTCTGAATCCAGACTAGGATACTACCAGATCTGTTGGTCTGAATTCAGACTAGTATACTACCAGATCTGTTGGTCTGAATCCAGACTAGTCTACTACCAGATCTGTTGGTCTGAATCCAGACAAGTCTACTACCTGATCTGTTGGTCTGAATCCAGACTAGTCTACTACCTGATCTGTTGGTCTGAATCCAGACTAGTATACTACCAGATCTGTTGGTTTGAATGCCAGACAAGTCTACTACCTGACCTGTTGGTCTGAATCCAGACTAGTCTACTACCTGATCTGTTGGTCTGAATCCAGACTAGTATACTACCAGATCTGTTGGTTTGAATGCCAGACAAGTCTACTACCTGATCTGTTGGTCTGAATCCAGACTAGTCTACTACCTGATCTGTTGGTCTGAATCCAGACTAGTATACTACCAGATCTGTTGGTCTGAATCCAGACTAGTCTACTACCAGATATGTTGGTCTGAATCCAGACTAGTCTACTACCAGATATGTTGGTCTGAATCCAGACTAGTATACTACCAGATCTGTTGGCCTGAATCCAGACTAGTATACTACCAGATCTGTTGGTCTGAATCCAGACTAGTCTACTACCAGATCTGTTGGCCTGAATCCAGACTAGTATACTACCAGATCTGTTGGTCTGTATCCAGACTAGTATACTACCAGATCTGTTGGTCTGAATCCAGACTAGTCTACTACCAGATCTGTTGGTCTGAAGATCTGTTGGTCTGAATCCAGACTAGTCTACTACCAGATCTGTTGGTCTCAATCCAGAATAGTCTACTACCAGATCTGTTGGTCTGAATTCAGACTAGTCTACTACCTGATCTATTGGTCTGTATCCAGACTAGTATACTACCAGATCTGTTGGTCTGAATCCAGACTAGTCTACTACCAGATCTGTTGGTCTGAATCCAGACTAGTCTACTACCTGATCTGTTGGTCTGAATCCAGACTAGTATACTACCAGATCTGTTGGTCTGAATCCAGACTAGTCTACTACCAGATCTGTTGGTCTGAAGATCTGTTGGTCTGAATCCAGACTAGTCTACTACCAGATCTGTTGGTCTCAATCCAGACTAGTCTACTACCAGATCTGTTGGTCTGAATTCAGACTAGTCTACTACCTGATCTATTGGTCTGTATCCAGACTAGTATACTACCAGATCTATTGGTCTGTATCCAGACTAGTATACTACCAGATCTGTTGGTCTGAATCCAGACTAGTCTACTACCGGATCTGTTGGTCTGAATCCAGACTAGTCTACTACCAGATCTGTTGGTCTGAATCCAGACTAGTCTACTACCAGATCTGTTGGTCTGAATCCAGACTAGTATACTACCAGATCTGTTGGTCTGAATCCAGACTAGTCTACTACCAGATCTGTTGGTCTGAATCCAGACTAGTCTACTACCAGATCTGTTGGTCTGAAAGCCAGACTAGTCTACTACCTGATCTGTTGGTCTGAATCCAGACTAGTCTACTACCAGATCTGTTGGTCTGAATCCAGACTAGTCTACTACCAGATCTGTTGGCCTGAATCCAGACTAGTATACTACCAGATCTGTTGGCCTGAATCCAGACTAGTATACTACCAGATCTGTTGGTCTGTATCCAGACTAGTATACTACCAGATCTGTTGGTCTGAATCCAGACTAGTCTACTACCAGATCTGTTGGTCTGAAGATCTGTTGGTCTCAATCCAGACTAGTCTACTACCAGATCTGTTGGTCTGAATTCAGACTAGTCTACTACCTGATCTATTGGTCTGTATCCAGACTAGTATACTACCAGATCTGTTGGTCTGAATCCAGACTAGTCTACTACCGGATCTGTTGGTCTGAATCCAGACTAGTCTACTACCAGATCTGTTGGTCTGAATCCAGACTAGTCTACTACCTGATCTGTTGGTCTGAATCCAGACTAGTATATTGCCAGATCTGTTGATCTGAATCCAGACTAGTCTACTACCAGATCTGTTGGTCTGAATCCAGACTAGTATACTACCAGATCTGTTGGTCTGAATGCCAGACAAGTCTACTACCTGATCTGTTGGTCTGAATCCAGACTAGTCTACTACCTGATCTGTTGGTCTGAATCCAGACTAGTCTACTACCAGATCTGTTGGTCTGAATCCAGACTAGTCTACTACCAGATCTGTTGGTCTGAAAGCCAGACTTGTCTACTACCTGATCTGTTGGTCTGAATCCAGACTAGTCTACTACCAGATCTGTTGGTCTGAATCCAGACTAGTCTACTACCAGATCTGTTGGCCTGAATCCAGACTAGTATACTACCAGATCTGTTGGCCTGAATCCAGACTAGTATACTACCAGATCTGTTGGTCTGTATCCAGACTAGTATACTACCAGATCTGTTGGTCTGAATTCAGACTAGTCTACTACCAGATCTGTTGGTCTGAAGATCTGTTGGTCTGAATCCAGACTAGTCTACTACCAGATCTGTTGGTCTCAATCCAGACTAGTCTACTACCAGATCTGTTGGTCTGAATTCAGACTAGTCTACTACCTGATCTATTGGTCTGTATCCAGACTAGTATACTACCAGATCTGTTGGTCTGAATCCAGACTAGTCTACTACCTGATCTGTTGGTCTGAATCCAGACTAGTCTACTACCTGATCTGTTGGTCTGAATCCAGACTAGTCTACTACCAGATCTGTTGGTCTGAATCCAGACTAGTCTACTACCTGATCTGTTGGTCTGAATCCAGACTAGTATACTACCAGATCTGTTGGTCTGAATCCAGACTAGTCTACTACCAGATCTGTTGGTCTGAATCCAGACTAGTCTACTACCAGATCTGTTGGCCTGAATCCAGACTAGTCTACTACCAGATCTGTTGGTCTGAATCCAGACTAGTCTACTACCAGATCTGTTGGTCTGAAGATATGTTGGTCTGTATCCAGACTAGTATACTACCAGATCTGTTGGTCTGAATCCAGACTAGTCTACTACCGGATCTGTTGGTCTGAATCCAGACTAGTATACTACCAGATCTGTTGGTCTGAATCCAGACTAGTATACCACCAGATCTGTTGGTCTGATAGCAATGGAGTTGTCAAGACAGCACAAACAGATCTGCAACCAGGCTATTGTTGATGATCTGATACATCTTATTGTTCCTGTCTTTGTATCTTTGAAATAATAGCTAATAAAACATGTTTCCTCTGCAGCGTTCCACCAGGATGAATCAGAGGAGAGTTTGTCTGATGTAGTAGATGTGACTGAGATCCAGAGAAGCCGGGTGCGATCGCTCAGAGACTGGCACTATACTGAGCACCACAATGCCAATGTCTTTCCCCAGGTCAATATTAATCAATACTCACATTTATTGTAGTTATTTACCTTCTAATTTCTGGCTCCTTTTTGCAACCGTTTGTGATCAGTAGGGAAACAACACAACATGTTGTCTTGCTTTAGATTCTCCAGTCTGCCTCTCAGTCCTACCGCTGCATGGACACCTTCTGTGGTAGTCTGGACAACACCCTGTTCATCGTCTGTCACAATCCCATGAGCCCTCAGCGCCAGTGCAAGGAATTATGGGACATGGCCCTCCATACCAACGTCGGGTTCAGGTACAGCTGTAAAAAAACAAAAAAACAAAACATGTTTGCTATAAATCAGTTGTTTAACAGTTGGAGATATATTTTCTTCAAACCCATTTAGTTGATTTATTTTTGGGTTACAAAACGATAAAGGTACAGATTACATTAGGCTGTGGGTACTGTTTAGGATTTGGATGCAGCTTTCTTTTACGGTGGGGAGTGTATTTATTAAAATCCAAAGGCTTTCCACCATTCCCTCTCTCTCTGTCGTCAGGAAATACCTTGAGCACGTGGCAGACTCTATATCTGACTGGACCAAGGAGGAGGAGGACAAGTGGCTAGCTCTGCAGGCCAATAGAGAGGCAGACAAACTGAGAGGGCCCACCCCGTCTGACTCCTCAGAGAAAGGCAGGACAGAGTCGGCTAAGGGCACCAAGAAGGACACTGTCTCACCAAAACACACTGCAAGTAAGGAAGCAGTGGAGTGTTCACATTCATATTCTACTGATACCCACACATCATGAATACAGGCCGAAATCCATGGGGTATAACATAAATACTCATTAACGTTGATACATAGATTACGATAGATGAAAAACATCACAGCACTTATTCTAAGAGTAGTACTAGTAGTTACAGTGCCACAGTCCCCCAGTGATGGAAGTGTTGTGTCCCTGTCCACCTGAAGCCTCCCCAGCCAAGTCTCCTATCCCAGAGGAACCTCCTCCCTGTCCACCTGAAGCCTCCCCAGCCAAGTCTCCTATCCCAGAGGAACCTCCTCCAGACCAGTACATCAGGGAAGACTCACTCAAAGTACGTACTCTGTCTTGTTGTCTCCCACCCCGTTTTATAGTGGGATTCATTTCATGATTTTCATAAATATCTTCCATACATACTGATAAAATGATTGTGTTTGTGCTTGTCGTGTTCTCTACAAACTGCTCTCTCTCCAGGCGTGGAAGATAGAGCAGAGCAGACAGAAGGAGGAGGAACAGGTGAAGAAAGCTAAGAAAGATAAAGGTGGGAAGGGAGCGGAGCGCGCCGACTCGTCCAAGGAGAACAAGAAAACCACCCCCTCGACCACTAAGAAGAGCAGGGAGGACGTGAGCAAGACCCCTGACCTGGCTGTGGGGACCCCTGGAGGCCAGAGAGCAGAGCTGCAGTCGCCTACCGACGTCTTCACTGTGAGGCTATAAACACCCTTTAAAATCAACAGTCAAAATGTGGCGTTAGACGTTCATAATGACATCATTTTGTGGTTGTAAACTGGTTTTCTGGTTGAAGAGATATAGTGATATAGTCACAGCAGATACTAGATAGATCATGTTTTAATGTGCTCTTATGGCATGTTGTCTTTCATTGAAAAAGTATCTGCTGCAACAATATCAAGAGAATGCTGACCTTTAAAAAATAAAATAATACTGTGTGTGTGTGTAGGGGTTCACTGGGTACAGCATGGAGGGACAGCTGATCCAGGTCTCAGGCCAGCTCCATTCCCTATACCCCTCTGACGGAGGCCACATCCAGGTGGAGACCATCCACTTTGTGCATGGTGAATACACACACACACACACACACCACTATTACGATACACACTTTCGCTCTCTTTTGTTCGCACGTTTCTTCTCTAAATGTGTTCTGTTTCCAGGGTCGACGCTCATCACGCGTTGCTTCTCTAAATGTGTTCTGTTTCCAGAGTCGACGCTCATCACGCGTTGCTTCTCTAAATGTGTTCTGTTTCCAGGGTCGACGCTCATCACGCGTTGCTTCTCTAAATGTGTTCTGTTTCCAGGGTCGACGCTCATCACGCGTTGCTTCTCTAAATGTGTTCTGTTTCCAGGGTCGACGCTCATCACGCGTTGCTTCTCTAAGGCTGTGTTTAGACAGGCAGCCCAATTCTGATATTTTCTACACTAATTGGTCTATTGACCAATCATATCAGCTCTGAAAGATCTGATGTGATTGGTCAAAAGACCAATAAGTCTAAAAAAGATCAGAATTGGTCTGCCTGTGTAAACACAGCATGTGTTCTGTTACCAGGGTCGACGCTCATCAAAGTGTGTGTAATGAAGGACAAGCATCATTTCTACACCCACATCACCCAGCCAAACAGACACCAGGAAGAGAGCCCAAAGGACGCGGTCCCCATGGAGACACAGAGTCCGGCCAATAAGAGTGTGAGGCTGGGCTCCTTCTCAGCTGTGCTGGACAACGGCATCCACCTCTCCTACAGTCGCTACGGCCCAACTGGGGAGCAGGGTGAACACCTTACATCATCGCCTGATTATGTCTTGACATATTCTGTCTGTTTCTCTGTCATTAAACCACTTGGTGTACTGTTCCTGTTATGGGGACCCAGTATGGTCTCTATGTTGTTGTGTGTGGTGATGTCTTATCGCTGAGTCTACCTTTAATGTGACTGTCTGGTTGTTGACGTGTCTGTAGGTGAGATGCAGGCTGGTCAGGACTCTGATCTGGACATGCCCACAGACTCCAGTCTCTCCCCCGCCCCCTCGACCCTCCTCTCCTCCTCATTCTCCAATAAGAAACTCAACTCCTCCCACAGCTCCAAGGGGGTGGAGCCGCCCAGAGAGACCAACAAGTCCCCAACACCCAGAGAGGAAAAGGAGCAGGTGAATCCAGACTATCGACCGTCACAAACAGATGCATTTAGTTTCCACAGCATCTGTTCAGTTAGTGTTTTGTTGTTGATAATGTAATATCATTGATATCAATATTACAACGTTATATTCTTATCATCTATTTTCTTTCTGTTTACCTACCTGCTGTCTATAATTCCCTTGATGTTGTTGGCTGTGTTGTCCCCTGCCAGACCAGAGAGAGTGAGAGTCAGGCAGCATTACCTGGCAGTGCTCCGTTCCAGAGACTAAACGTCTCCACCCCCAGTGGTCTGCTGCTGCAGTTCCTCAGTGATGATACAGATGGTCAGTCTGTGTCTGTGTGTGTCTCTGTGTGTGTGTGTGTGTCCATACAGTGTTTGTGTAACTGTAGTTTTGTGTACTGTAGGCAGTACTCCAGAGGGTCAGTGTGTGTTGGTGAGACAGAGTTTCCCCCTACACTGCAGTGACAGTAGAGAGCTTCACCTCACAGACCCATCGTTACACAGTGAGCTGTCTAGGGTCATCACTGGTCAGGGCACCGTGGTCAAGTACATGAGAGACGGATCAACACAGGTACTGGTAAACAGAATACACACACACACACACACACATACACACACACACGTTAAGCTCCTCCCTGTCTGTGTGTAGGTGCTGTTTGCAGACAGTTCCGTCAGTACCTGTACAGAGTCCGGACCCATCATCTCCTCTCCTCCTGAACCCGTTGCTAAGGAGGACGAGGTAGTGAAGGAGACTCAGACACCAGAGAGAAAAGACAGCAAGGACAAGAAGGGTGAACACATCTCCAACAAATGATATGGACCTTCATCTATATCCTTTGGTCTTTGATATATTTGAAGTGTCTTCCTATTAGACTTGTACTGTGTCAGTCTGAAATCTATTGGCTTCACAACCTTTAGTGTTGTTGAGTGTCGGTGCTTGACTAAGGGAAAGGAGAGATGAGGAGTTATGTGTGTGAGCAGGTAAGCTGGGCTCCAAGCAGAGCCTGGGGGCTGACCAGAGTCAAAGTGACCCCGAGCCCAGGGAGGACCAGAGGTCGTCAGGCCAGACCCAGGCCAGACAGGGGGTCTGTTGGACCACCACCAGCCCCTCCGGACACAGAGTAGCCACCATGGGGGACCAGACCACAGACCCTGGCCCCGTCCTGGCCTTCAGAGCCACAGACCCTGTCAGTCAAACTGTGAGCATACCAACCAGCAACATGGTTGCTAACAACGTGGTTGTTAATAAAGTTTAGTTTTCTTGCTACTTTTGCAGATTTCAACATTTTGACTTCCTAGACGTGTGATATGTAAAAGTAGCTCTTCTGCCTTGTCTGTGTGAGCAGGTTGTGATCACGCGGGAGGACAAGGTGATATCTGTGCTGGACAGAGACGGGACGGTGATCGTGGACCATGCAGACGGAACCAGGATCACTACCCTGTACCAGGAGAGAGAGGCTCTCTGTGGCTGGTCCCATCAACACATTAACACAGGTACCCAACACCCGTAACCCTAACTCTAACCCTGTACCAGGAGAGAGTGACTCTCTGTGGCTGGTCCCATCAGCACATTAACACAGGTACCCAACACCCCTAACCCTAACTCTGTACCAGGAGAGAGTGACTCTCTGTGGCTGGTCCCATCAGCACATTAACACAGGTATCCAACACCCCTAACCCTAACTCTAACCCTGTACCAAGAGAGAGTGACTCTCTGTGGCTGGTCCCATCAGCACATTAACACAGGTACCCAACACCCCTAACCCTAACTCTAACCCTGTACCAGGAGAGAGTGACTCTCTGTGGCTGGTCCCATCAACACATTAACACAGGTACCCAACACCCCTAACCCTAACTCTAACCCTGTACCAGGAGAGAGTGACTCTCTGTGGCTGGTCCCATCAACACATTAACACAGGTACCCAACACCCCTAACCCTAACTCTAACCCTGTAACAGGAGAGAGTGACTCTCTGTGGCTGGTCCCATCAACACATTAACACAGGTTAAAGGCTATGCTACTAACTGCTACCTGGTCTGATACAGTAGTAGTGTGTATTCTGTGTTACCAGGACAGAGACAACAGTGTGTGTAGGAAGGACGGTGCGTGGTGTGATAATGTATACGTTGTGTTACCAGGACAGAGACAACAGTGTGTGTAGGAAGGATGGTGCATGGTGTGATAATGTATACGTTGTGTTACCAGGACAGAGACAACAGTGTGTAGGAAGGATGGTGCATGGTGTGATAATGTATACGTTGGGTTACCAGGACAGAGACAACAGTGTGTGTAGGAAGGATGGTGCGTGGTGTGATAATGTATACGTTGTGTTACCAGGACAGAGACAACAGTGTGTGTAGGAAGGACGGTGCGTGGTGTGATAATGTATACGTTGTGTTACCAGGGGAGAGGTCCAGCAGCAGTGTCTGTCATAAGGAGAAGTTGGTGATGGTGGAGCGGCCGGGGTTTGCCACGGTAGCCATGTTCAGCGAGGACAGGTCCTGCAAAGTGTTCTTTGGAGACGGGAGCGTCGTCACCGCCACCTGCAACGGAGCCTACCACGTAAGAGAAACCGGGGGTGAATGTTAAAAGTTCCTCCTCCATTCCTCCCGTCCTCTTCCCACCTCCTTCTCAAAATGTAGAGCGCATCGGAGGAGAAGATCCAAGCTTCTTTTCACGAGTCTACCAAATGACTGTGTTCTGAGGTGCTATATCCATTCTAGGTGACTCTCCATGTCCCTGTGTCCCCTCTAGGTGTACCCGTCCAGTGTAGGTCTGCTGTTGATCAACCAGGACGGTAGTTGTGTGTACAGGTCCGACCCTGAGCACAGCCCAACCCTGAGTCTGGCCAGCTGGAGTCCCAGAGAGCAGCCAGGCAGCTACAGGATGGACCACACCTCCACCTCAGACACACTGTGTGAGGTCACAGACCACCACGGGAACCTCTTCCAGGTGGGCCAGTTCTAAATGCGTCCCAAATGACACCCCTGTTCCCTATACAGTGAGGGAAAAAAGTATTTGATCCCCTGCTGATTTTGTACGTTTGCCCACTGACAAAGAAATGATCAGTATATCATTTTAATGGTAGGTTTATTTGAACAGTGAGAGACAGAATAACAACAAAAAAATCCAGAAAAACGCATGTCAAAAATGTTATGAATTTATTTGCATTTTAATGAGGGAAATAAGTATTTGACCCCCTCTCAATCAGAAAGATTTCTGGCTCCCAGGTGTCTTTTATACAGGTAACGTGCTGAGATTAGGAGCACACTCTTAAAGGGAGTGCTCCTAATCTCAGTTTGTTACCTGTATAAAAGACACCTGTCCACAGAAGCAATCAATCAATCAGATTACAAACTCTCCACCATGGCCAAGACCAAAGAGCTCTCCAAGGATGTCAGGGACAAGATTGTAGACCTACACAAGGCTGGAATGGGCTACAAGACCATCGCCAAGCAGCTTGGTGAGAAGGTGACAACAGTTGGTGCGATTATTCGCAAATTGAAGAAACACAAAAGAACTGTCAATCTCCCTCGGCCTGGGGCTCCATGCAAGATCTCACCTCGTGGAGTTGCAATGATCATGACAACGGTGAGGAATCAGCCCAGAACTACACGGGAGGATCTTGTCAATGATCTCAAGGCAGCTGGGACCATAGTCACCAAGAAAACAATTGGTAACACACTACTCCGTGAAGGACTGAAATCCTGCAGCGCCCGCAAGGTCCCCCTGCTTAAGAAAGCACATATACAGGGCCGTCTGAAGTTTGCCAATGAACATCTGAATGATTCAAAGGAGAACTGGGTGAAAGTGTTGTGGTCAGATGAGACCAAAATGGAGCTCTATGGCATCAGCTCAACTCGCCGTGTTTGGAGGAGGAGAAATGCTGCCTATGACCCCAAGAACACCATCCCCACCGTCAAACATGGAGGTGGAAACATTATGCTTTGGGGGTGTTTTTCTGCTAAGGGGACAGGACAACTTCACCGCATCAAAGGGACGATGGACGGGGCCATATACCGTCAAATCTTGGGTGAGAACCTCCTTCCCTCAGCCAGGGCATTGAAAATGGGTCGTGGATGCGTATTCCAGCATGACAATGACCCAAAACACACGTCTAAGGCAACAAAGGAGTGGCTCAAGAAGAGGCACATTAAGGTCCTGGAGTGGCCTAGCCAGTCTCCAGACCTTAATCCCATAGAAAATCTGTGGAGGGAGCTGAATGTTCGAGTTGCCAAACGTCAGCCTCGAAACCTTAATGACTTGGAGAAGATCTGCAAAGAGGAGTGGGACAAAATCCCTCCTGAGATGTGTGCAAACCTGGTGGCCAACTACAAGAAACGTCTGACCTCTGTGATTGCCAACAAGGGTTTTGCCACCAAGTACTAAGTCATGTTTTGCAGAGGGGTCAAATACTTATTTCCCTAATTAAAATGCAAATCAATGTATAACATTTATGACATGCGTTTTTCTGGATTTTGTTGTTGTTATTCTGTCTCTCACTGTTCAAATAAACCTACCATTAAAATTATAGACTGATCATGTCTTTGTCAGTTGGCAAACGTACAAAATCAGCAGGGGATCAAATACTTTTTTCCCTCACTGTATATAGTGCACTACTTATAGCCTGGTCCCAGATCTGTTTGTGCTGTCTTGCCATTTGGCTTGACAATGACCATAGGATTTGGTAAGACAGCACAAACAGATCTGGGACCAGGGCATAAGGCACTGACCATAATTTGTGCACTATATAAGGAATAGGGTGAGATTCCAGACAGTTTGTTTTCCCATCAGGCCAAGTGTTCAGAGGATTATTGTACGATACACTGAACTCTGCAAGCCCCGGGAATTTTCATTTTGAAAACTTGTTTGACAAAGTGGATTAGGAAACATCACTGTAGGATTCATAGGGCATTTGTAGGGCATGGTGGAGTTATAGTATCAGTGTATCAAATCTTCCTGTGTGCAGGTGATGAAGGATGGCCGGACGTCAGTGGAGATCTCTAGCCCTCTGGACAGCAGAGTGGAGGAGGAAGAGATGGAGGAGGAAGGACGGCATCCAGAAGAGAGAGAGTTGGCCAAGCATTATATTGGACGTAAAGTCCACATTCCAAGGTAGGCTTCAGTAACTCTGCTCCCCATCTGTACAGTGTAACTCGTTTTTTATTCCAATGTCCCCCAGTTAGGCACCTTTTTACCCCTTTAGTGTTCCAGCTGGGCTGAAGCATGATGGGTACTCTCATTCTCTATATCCATAATAAATGTCCAGGTTGTTCATGGCCCATGAGGATGGTTCAGGCACAGAGCTGCTGTACTCTCAGACAGTAGAGGAACGTCTGTATGAGGACCACTCTGACCCTGCTGTCGCCCTGCTTAAAGAACCCCTCCCAGACCTACAGGGTAGGATTCCATCCATTTCCAATCATGTTGGCTGTACTCTACCTCCATAGACCTGTGTTTCCTCCTTGTTGACCCATAGACACGTCTGTGGTCTCCTCCCTGTCCTGCAGGTGTGCTGGGTATAACGGTGCTGAGACCCTGTCTTCAGGACGTGTGGTCCAGATGGGTCATCCAGAAACAAAACAAGGATATCATCCCCACCAACCTCAAGTCCCGCCGCTGGGACAACTTCCCCTCAGTAGAGGTAGGCAGACAGAGAAAATGAAAGAGAAAATGCACTTGAAATAGACGCGTAAAGTATTAGCAAATCATGCTAGTTTTCACGTTTACTTGAATTTAAGGTCATTTTATGCATGGTCAAAACAAACACACTTTAGTCATAGGGTGTGATGATTTTGATGCCTTCAAAATTATAATAAAATAAACCACTTTATGCCCTAAAAAAACTATTCTTTAAACATCTACTGTACACCACCACCCCCAGAGGAAGACGCCAGGCCCTCCGTTCGGGACCACCCTGGGCCGGGGTCTGACCCTGAGAGAGAAGCCTGTTTCTGAGGCCTGCAGGCCCGTGCTGAGCTGTCCTGATACCCTGGAGGTCCGACAGCTGCTCCAGTACCAGCCAGTCAGCAGACAACTCCGCAGGACTCTGGAGTCACGCCTCAGGGTACAGCACTATAGCTCACTGCTATGTGGATTCTTTAACGCCGTCTCCATTAAAGCAGCTTTAACCCAGTGTAGAAGCAGATATAGTCCAATGTCAGGCCATAATCATAATTCTTATTTGGTGGGTGCTTATATTGCTCCTATTTCACAAATGTACAAGTGTGTATTATACAGTGGCTTGCGAAAGTATTCACCCCCCTTGGCATTTTTCCTATATTGTTGCCTTACAACCTGGAATTTTTGGGGGGGTTTGTATCATTTGATTTACACAACATGCCTACCACTTTTAAGGTGCAAAATAATTTTTATTGTGAAACAAACAAGAAATAAGACAAAAAAAACAGAAAACTTGAGCGTGCATAACTATTCACCCCCCCAAAGTCAATACTTTGTAGAGCCGCCTTTTGCAGCAATTACAGCTGCAAGTCTCTTGGGGTATGTCTCTATAAGCTTGGCACATCTAGCCACTGGGATTTTTGCCCATTCTTCAAGGCAAAACTGCTCCAGCTCCTTCAAGTTGGATGGGTTCCGCTGGTGTACAGCAATCTTTAAGTCATACCACAGATTCTCAATTGGATTGAGGTCTGGGCTTTGACTAGGCCATTCCAAGACATTTAAATGTTTCCCCTTAAACCACTCAAGTGTTGCTTTAGCAGTATGCTTAGGGTCATTGTCCTGCTGGAAGGTGAACCTCCGTCCCAGTCTCAAATCTCTGGAAGACTGAAACAGGTTTCCCTCAAGAATTTCCCTGTATTTAGCGCCATCCATCATTCCTTTAATTCTGACCAGTTTCCCAGTCCCTGCCGATGAAAAACATCCCCACAGCATGATGCTGCCACCACCATGCTTCACTGTGGGGATGGTGTTACATTTACATTTTAGTCATTTAGCAGACGCTCTTATCAGTGTTCTCGGGGTGATGAGAGGTGTTGGGTTTGCGCCAGACATAGCGTTTTCCTTGATGGCATAAAAGCTCAATGTTAGTCTCATCTGACCAGAGTACCTTCTTCCATATGTTTGGGGAGTCTCCCACATGCCTTTTGGCGAACCCCAAACGTGTTTGCTTATTTTTTTCTTTAAGCAATGGCTTTTTTCTGGCCACTCTTCCGTAAAGCCCAGCTCTGTGGAGTGTACGGCTTAAAGTGGTCCTATGGACAGATAATCCAATCTCCGCTGTGGAGCTTTGCAGCTCCTTCAGGGTTATCTTTGGTCTCTTTGTTGCCTCTGATTAATGCCCTCCTTGCCTGGTCTGTGAGTTTTGGTGGGCGGCCCTCTCTTGGAGGCTCGCATCTACTACAAGACCATGGTGCTTGCCTACGGAGCTGTGAGGGGAATGGCACCTCCTTACCTTCAGGCTCTGATCAGACCCTACACCCAAACGAGGGCACTACGTTCATCCACCTCTGGCCTGCTAGCTCCCCTACCTCTACGGAAGCACAGTTCCCGCTCAGCCCAGTCAAAGCTATTTGCTGCTCTGGCACCCCAATGGTGGAACAAGCTCCCCCACGACGCCAGGACAGCGGAGTCACTGACCACCTTCCGGAGACACTTGAAACCCTACCTCTTTAAGGAATACCTGGAATAGTATAAAGTAATCCTTCTACTCCCCCACCCCCCCATAAAAAAAAAAAGAAATACAAAACAAGTGGTTGTCCCACTGGCTATCATAAGTTGAATGCACCAATTTGTAAGTCACTCTGGATAAGAGTGTCTGCTAAATGATGTAAATGTAAATGTTGTGGTGCCATATTCTTTCCATTTTTTAATAATGGATTTAATGGTGCTCCGTGGGATGTTAAAAGTTTCGGATATTTTTTTATAACCCAACCCTGATCTGTACTTCTCCACAACTTTGTCCCTGACCTGTTTGGAGAGCTTCTTGGTCTTCATGGTGCCGCTTGCTTGGTGGTGCCCCTTGCTTAGTGGTGCCCCTTGCTTAGTGGTGTTGCAGACTCTGGGGCCTTTCAGAACAGGTGTATATATACTGAGATCATGTGACACTTAGATTGCACACAGGTGGACTTTATTTAACTAATTATGTGACTTCTGAAGGTAATTGGTTGCACCATATCTTATTTAGGGGCTTCATAGCAAAGGGGGTGAATACATATGCACGCACCACTTTTCCGTTATTTATTTGTTCGAATTTTTTGAAACAAGTTATTTTTTTTTATGTCACTTCACCAATTTGGACTATTTTGTGTATGTCCATTACATGAAATCCAAATAAAAATCAATTTAAATTACAGGTTGTAATGCAACAAAATAGGAAAAACGCCAAGGGGGATGAATACTTTTGCAAGGCACTGTATGCATGTGTGAATTGGAAATGTGTTTTGTTGCATATCCCAACTCCCCCTGAGACACTCTCGGAGAGTAGGGTCACAGCCAGGGTCAGACATTATTAACAGCGACCCTGGAGCAGTTAGGGCTAAGTGCCTTGCTCAAGGGCACATCAACATATTTCTTTCACATTGTCAGCTCAGGGATTCGAACCAGAGACCTTTCAGTTGCTGTCCCAATGCTCTAACTGCTAGGCTATCTTAATATAGATGTTCCATCACAACATGCATGTGTTTGGTATGTGGTGTAATCTGTATGTCAACATGCGGTCCCCCTCCTGTACCTGGTCTTGTCTCAACATGTGGTCCCCCTCCTGTACCTGGTCTTGTCTCAACATGTGGTCCCCCTCCTGTACCTGGTCTTGTCTCAACATGTGGTCCCCCTCCTGTACCTGGTCTTGTCTCAACATGTGGTCCCCCTCCTGTACCTGGTCTTGTCTCAACATGTGGTCCCCCTCCTGTACCTGGTCTTGTCTCATCATGTGGTCCCCCTCCTGTACCTGGTCTTGTCTCAACATGTGGTCCCCCTCCTGTACCTGGTCTTGTCTCAACATGTGGTCCTCCTCCTGTACCTGGTCTTGTAGGAGTACATGGAGCAGGTTGTCCAGAGAGAGAACCTGTCAGAGAAGATGCAGTTGAAGGACCCTCGTACTGAGGAGGAGAAGGTCCACGCTGCTGACCTGCTCAAACTGGTCCTGGTGAGTAAGTACACGATCACACACACACACACACACACGTACTGAGGAGGAGAAGGTCCACGCTACTGACCTGCTCAAATATGTCAGTATTACTCAGGTACTGTAGTATTAAGTTACTCAGGTACTGTAGTATGAAGTTACTCAGGTGCTGAAGTATGAAGTTACTCGGGTGCTGTAGTGTACTGTTACTCGGGTAATGTAGTATTCTGTTACTCAGGTGCTCTAGTATTCTGTTACTCAGGTGCTGAAGTATTCTGTTACTCAGGTGCTGTAGTATTATGTTACTCAGGTGCTGTAGTATTATGTTACTCAGGTGCTGTAGTATTCTGTTACTCAGGTGTTGTAGTATTCTGTTACTCAGGTGCTGTAATATTCTGTTACTCAGGTGCTGTAGTATTATGTTACTCAGGTGCTGTAGTATTCTGTTACTCAGCTGCTGTAGTATTCTGTTACTCAGGTGCTGTAGTATTCTGTTACTCAGGTGCTGTAGTATTCTGTTACTCAGGTGCTGTAGTATTCTGTTACTCAGGTGCTGTAGTATTCTGTGACACCATGTGCATTTCTTCTTCCTCAGTCACTTCCAGAGTCAGAGCACCCCACTATAGAGAACAGAATCTTCCCCGGTGAGTCCTTCATTTTGGCTTGGAGATTATTTCCTAGCTGTAGCAATGAATTGGAGTAAGGGAAAAGGAATGGTGAGTTGAATAGGGAGTGTGTTTGTGTTTGTTCCACCCCAGTGGATGTAGCCACCATGTACACCCAGGCACTGATGACTCCAGCCCTGCAGACTGAGGCCTCTCTCTCAGAGAAAGACACAGACAGGTGGGTCAGAACTAGCCTGGTCCTAGATCTGTATCATGTGGTCCTCTGTAGCTCAATTGGTAGAGCACGGCGATGGAACGCCAGGGTAGTGGGTTCGATCCCCGGGACCACCCATACGTAAAAATGTATGCACACATGACTGTAAGTCGCTTTGGATAAAAGCATCTGCTAAATGGCATATTATTATTATTATTATTATTATTATTATTATTATTATTATCATAACTAACCTGATCCTAGATCTGTATCATAACTAACCTGATCCTAGATCTGAATCATAACTAACCTGATCCTAGATCTGTATCATAACGAGATCTGTATCATAACTAGCCTGGTCCTAGATCATTATCATAACTAGCCTGATCCTAGACATGTTTCATAACTAGATCTGCATCATAACTAGCCTGCTCCTAGATCTGTATCCTAACTATATCTGTATCATAACTAGATCTGTATCATAACTAGCCTGCTCCTAGATCTGTATCCTAACTATATCTGTATCATAACTAGATCTGTATCATAACTAGCCTGCTCCTAGATCTGTATCCTAACTATATCTGTATCATAACTAGATCTGTATCATAACTAGCCTGCTCCTAGATCTGTATCATAACTAGCCTGCTCCTAGATCTGTATCCTAACTATATCTGTATCATAACTAGATCTGTATCATAACTAGCCTGCTCCTAGATCTGTATCCTAACTATATCTGTATCATAACTAGATCTGTATCATAACTAGCCTGCTCCTAGATCTGTATCCTAACTATATCTGTATCATAACTAGATCTGTATCATAACTAGCCTGCTCCTAGATCTGTATCATAACTAGATCTGTATCCTAACTAACCTGATCTTAGATCTGTAGGTCATCTTTCTCACGAGTCTCTTATTAGTTGCTATCTTATCTTATCCCTGTACTAATGGGCTTAGTTAAGCTGTGAACAGAAACATCTCCAGCTTTTGAACCTTTTCCATTATCTTATCATCATATTACAATCTGCTGTTTTACAGCTTCAGTGAAGAGGCACAGGAAACTATGTGGAAGAGCAGGATAGAGCAACACAGGTAACTAACTAACTGCTCTGTATCGTAGAGCTGACATAGTTGACATTCCCATCTTTTCCCAGGAATATTTATGTTGCTGTACTGTTCAGACAGGAGCTGGACCAGGAGAAGATGTACAGAGAGGCTCTAAGGAACAGAATCATTCCTCCGTATTTCCACTCAGAGAAAGGAGCAGGTTTTGAGTACTCAGAGGAGGTGACAGAGCTTTCTCATCAATTGATTGTATTCAGCACAGCTACGTAATGCCTGTTAACAGTTCCATTAGATTCATTAATATGTTTCGATTGTCCCACAGCCCAGCCAGTCAATTTATAAACTTCATCTCCCCTGGAAAAGAGTGTCTAGACAATATTTCCCCATGCTACTAGCCTAGCATTTGGTTTGGTACAGAGGGTGTTAATATAAGCTTCACTGTGTACCTCTCCGACTTGTGCAACATATTGTAGATTGTATTCAGCTCAGCTACTGTACGTGTATAAAACAACTATCTGTGTTTTCCTGTCAGGTCCCTGATATGAGATCTCTGTCTCAGGACCTTCCTCCGTTCCCCAAGACTCCCAACTCCCAGAACTACCTCAAGGATGCCCCACGAGAGACAGGTTAAAACTAGGCTACATTTATAACAATACTAATGATGTTGATTATACAGTATTGAAGCATCTTTTAAAGCATTGTGTAATTTTATCCTTCATTAAGAAAGTGACCCTGTTTTGCATGTTATTTGTTTTTGTGTGTGTTCTTGAAGCAGCCCAGCGACCTCTGAACCCCACGCCCTCTCACGCAGCAGGAAGTGATGCGCTGCCTGTCAGGAGACCCACTAACCCCACCCCTCAAACTGCAGGTCTGCTCAGTACACGTCTTAGACTTGGGTTAGTGTTAGAGTTAGGGTAAGAGTGGTGACAGCTAGTCTTACTGGGGTCCGAGACATAACGAAAAAGACATTACAGACAAAATACTTTACAATTTGCATACATTTAAAAACATTAACATGTAGTGTGTGTGTGTGTGTGTGTGCATCTATCAGTTCCACATACATGTTAGTACATACACACAACAAGTAGGTCACATGGGGGAGAGGCATGGTGCCGTGAGGTGTTGCTATAATTGTTTTTTGAAACCAGGTTTGCTGTTCCTTGCTCTATATAAGATGGAAGGGAGTTCCATGCACTCATGGCTCTGTATAATACTGTACTTGAATTAAAATTAGAGGAGAACAGATAATGATCAAATATGTTTATGAAAAATATTAGAAAGATGCGAATACATTTCCGGGCAGACTACCAAGTTTTATTTCCTCACGTGTTTCGCTCTGTGGTTGCCAGGCGAGCTCGCTCATTCCACCCACACTGCTACTAAGCCAGGCAGGTACAGAACTGACTGATTAGGCGCCACCAAACATCACATCGATAGCTAAACTGCCGGGCAAATGTAGATTCAACCCTGCCTTTTGTGCATATGGAAAATATCTAGGATATTTTATTTCAACTCATGAAACATGGGACCAACACTTTACATGTTGCGTTTGATATTTTTGTTCAGTATAGTTTACCCACCTTTTTACCACTACATCACTGGACCCAACCAACCCCCACTGTGTGAGGTGCAAAAGCATGTGTCAGACTTTGACATTGTGAGCCTGGGTGAATCAGCAGCCCTGAAGAGACACATGAAGGGGAGGAGAAACACCGCTACATCCTGCGCTGACGCCCGTTCTACATGATGGGACTTTTTCTCTGCAACAAACTCCAGAGCCCTCTGATTACAATGAAGAGCAAGACATGCCGCTCTGTTCTGGTCCAGCTGCAGCTTAACCAGTTAAACTCTGAGTGGTTGTTTTGGGCCCTGTACAAGGCCCGGTGAGTTGGGGTGGGGGGATCATCATCAGAAAATAGAAAGTTACATATCATTTGAAAGCTACAGGACTTGTCTTTTTGGAAATAGAACTCAAATCTTACTGCTGGCGATGTCATAAGAATCTCCCCACCGCCCATAAAGGCCATAAACACTCATTCACACACACACACTGTGACGTACATACACACAGACAAACACTCACTCACATACTCACGCGCACATGTTCACACACTGGTGTTCATCACCCACCCAGTGAGAGGTGCATATGTCGATTGAGGACAGCATTCATGGTATCTCTACAGTGGAGCAGCAGCATGGTGGTGGGATGGAGCCTGGCAGAACCCAGGTGGACGTGGCAGGGAACCCACGCAGACACAGAGTCAAGCTGCCAGCCTCCATCCTCAGCTCCAAACCCTTCAGCGTGCCCAACCAGCAGGTACCACACACACACACACACACACACACACACACACATACACTGTGACGTACATACATACACACACACAAACACTCACTCACACACAGACTCACACACACACACACTGTGACGTACATACGTACACACAGACAAACACTCACACACACACACACACACACACACTGTGACATACATACATACACACACACACAAACATTCACTCGCATACTCACGCGCACAGGTGCACACACTAGTGTTCATCACCCACCCAGTGAGAGGTGCATATGTCGATTGAGGAAATGTTTCTGACTGTAGGTGTGAATGTTGTGAATTGAGTGTGGGCTGGGGGACAAATGTGTGGGCTGTGGGACATATGGGGTGTGGGCTGGGGGACATATGGGGTGTAGGCTGGGGGACATATGGGGTGTGGGCTGGGGGACATATGGGGTGTGGGCTGGGGGACATATGTGTGGGCTGGGGGGACATATGTGGTGTGGGCTGGGGGACATATGGGGTGTGGGCTGGGGGACATATGTGTGGGCTGGGGGTACATATGTGTGGGCTGGGGGACATATGTGTAGGCTGGAGGGACATATGGGGTGTGGGCTGGGGGACAAATGGGGTGTGGGCTGGGGGACATATGTGTGGGCTGGGGGACATATGGGGTGTGGGCTGGGGGACATATGGGAAGTGTGCTCCATAGTATGTATGTGTGTGACTGACTGAGGCCTAGATGTAATCTGTATCATGGAAGATCTGCGCTACAGCGCGATTTACATTTTAAGGCAATGTTCCCGCGTTCACGGTAAACGCTGCATATGGCGGCTCAATAGGAAATTACCTTTACATTTCAGTGGCACTATAACGCGGATCTTCCGCGATACGGATTTAATCTAGCTCTGGGTCTTCTGGATGCCACAAGACTGTGTTATCCTGCTGAGCTCAAGACTAGGCAGTAGCCCAGGGAACTAACACAAGTCTTCATGTCCAGGTCAAGGTTGATACACTGAACCACGTCTGTTAACAGTAATGTATCTGTCGTGTCAGTTCTTGTTCCATAACACATAGCTTACTGAGCTAGAGCCTGGCCATTACCATGGGAAGCTAACACAAGTCTGGCTCTCAGTTCCTGTGTGTAGAGGAGCCGGTGAGGAGGAAGGTGAAGACAGTGTCTGTGACGGGGGGGCAGCAGCTCGCCCCGCGGGGGTTTGAGCTCCTCCCAGCAGAGGTCCAGTTTGGGACCCTAAAGGAGGGCTGCACCTACAGCGTCCCGGTGCTCATGAAGAACGTGGGCTTCCACACCTGCAGGTCAGACCAGATACCTACACAGTTAGAAATAGATCCATGAAAATTAGTATGGCTGTTTGTTTGTATAGACATTTCTGTCAAAAATGGTGGTGTGAAAATGAGAAGGTTCAAGGTCTTGGTTGTCGTCATTGTGTGTTCTTCTCCGTCTGTGTTCTGGAAAGTTCAGTGAGTGTTCTGTGTTGTGGTACTTTAGATTCAGCGTGAAACAGCCTTCCCCTGGTACTGGAATCAGAGTCATCTACACCCCTGGACCTGTAAGTTCTACTGAGCAGAGTGATAGTTACTGTAGTCAGCTTTATTCAATATACAAACTGAACATTTCCAATTGTTTTCTTTGAGGATGTTCTAGATTCATGAATTTCATTCCACTTCACTTCCTGATATGACTAAATTGACCTCTGACCCCTGTTGCAGGTGGCTGCTGGGATGAAGACAGAGCTTCAGGTGGAGCTGTATGCCATGGCTATAGGTCTGGAGGAGCCTGCAGAGGGAGAGGTCTACGTCTCACACCACATCCACATCAAGACTGAGAGTGAGATCCTCTACCTGCCTGTCTCAGCTAATATCCTTCTCAAATGGCTTTTAGCCCCACTTTATTTGGATAGTCCCCTACAGATAACTTCCTAGGGTTAGCAATATGTACAATAGAGTTGGTAGCCTTAGTGATGTTTTCATTGTGCAGTGAGAGATCTTCCCTTATTGTACAATAGTACACTAGTGGTGTACAGTATGGTTATAGAATAGCTCAAGTGAGGACATGATTGGTTTTTACAGAGTTAATGGCAAAGGGCAAACGTTCTCTCAGTGAAAGCAGCGATGGTCTCTGTTGTCCCCTCCTTAACGAGTGGTCTCACCCATCCTCCCTGAGCGTCTGTATGACAGCAGGACCAAGGATCATACCAACTGGCTCCAGACAGGGGTGTCCAAGGTCCGCCTCATCTCCTCCACCCCCTCAGTCAGACGTGGAGTGGTCCTCCCTCACAGACCTCTTCTCTCCACCACCGGTTAGTGATTTACAGTATATGAACACTGGAACTAATCACACTCTAGAATGCCCTTCAAGCCAATCAGAAACGAGTGTTCAACAATGCCATGGTATGAGAACACTGGAACTAATCTCTTACAGATGCAAAGGGCTGTTAAGGGATATACAGTGTATTCGGAAAGTATTTAGACCCATTCCCTTTTTCCACATTTTGTTACATTACAGCCTTGTTCTAAAATGGATTAAATTGTTTTTTTTCTTCATCAATCTACACACAATCCCCCATAATGACAAAGCAAAAACAGGTTTTTCGAAATTTCTGCAAATGTATTAAAAATAAAAAACGGAAAAATCACATTTACATGTACATTTTTGTCATTTAGCAGACGCTCTTATCCAGAGCGACTTACAGTTAGTGAGTGTATACATTATTATTTTTTATACTGGCCCCCCGTGGGAATCGAACCCACAACCCTGGCATTGCAAACGCCATGCTCTACCAACTGAGCTATTCAGACCCTTTACTCAGTACTTTGTTGAAACACCTTTAGCAGAGATTACAGCCTCAAGTCTTCTTGGGTATGACACTACAAGCTTGGCACACCTGTATTTGGGGAGTTTCTCCCATTCTTCTCTGCAGATCCTCTCAAGCTCTGTCAGGTTGGATGGGGAGCGTCGCTGCACAGCTATTTTCAGGTCTCTCCAGAGATGTTCTATCGGGCTCTGGCTGGGCCACTCAAGGACATTCAGAGACTTGTCCCGAAGCCCCTTCTGCGTTGTCTTGGCTGTGTTCTTAGGGTCGTTGTCCTGTTGGAAGGTGAACCTTCACCCCAGTCGGAGGTCCTGAGAGCTCTGGAGCAGGTTTTCATCAAGGATCTCTCTCTACTTTGCTTCGTTCATCTTTCCCTCGATCCTGACTAGTCTCCCAGTCCCTGCCGCTGAAAAACATCCCCACAGCATGATGCTGCCTCAACCATGCTTCACCGTATGGATGGTGCCAGGTTTCCTCCAGACGTGATGCTTGGCGTTCAGGCCAAAGAGTTCAATCTTGGTTTCATCAGACCGGAGAATCTTGTTTCTCATGGTCTGAGAGTCCTTTAGGTGCCTTTTGGCAAACTCCAAGCGGGCTGTCATGTGCCTTTTACTGAGGAATGGCTTCTGTCTGGCCACTCTATCATAAAGGCCTGATTGGTGGAGTGCTGCAGAGATGGTTGCCCTGGAAGGTTCTCCCACCTCCACAGAGGAACTCTGGAGCTCTGTCAGAGTGACCATTGGGTTCTTGGTCACGTCCCTGACCAAGGCCCTTCCCCCCCAATTGCTCAGTTTGGCCGGGCGGCCAGCTCTAGGAAGAGTCTTGGTGGTTCCAAACTTCTTCCATTTATGAATGATTGAGGCCACTTTGTTTTTGGGGACACTTTTTGGTACACTTCCCCAGATCTGTGCCTCGAAACAATCCTGTCTCGGAGTTCTACGGACAATTACTTCGACCTCATGGCTTGGTTTTTGCTCTGACATGCACTGTCAACTGTGGGACCTTATATAGACAGGTCTGTGCCTTTCCAAATCATGTAAAATCAATTGAATTTACCACAGGTGGACTCCAATCAAATTGTAGAAACTGCTCAAGGATGATCAATGGAAACAGGATGCACCTGAGCTCAATTTCGACTCTCATAGCAAAGGCTCTGAATACTTACGTAAATAAGGCATTTCTGGGTTTTTTTAAACCTGTTTTCACCTTGTCATTATGGGGTATTGTGTGTAGATTGATGAGGATTAATTTTTTTTGTATCCATTTTAGAATAAGGCTGTAACGTAACAATGTGTCTGAATACTTCCCGAATGCACTGTTTATAATTCATTCTCACTGATACTTGATCTTCTTTTTCACTTTCAGGTGAAATTGAATGAGACGGATTGAGACAACTTCAATAAAACCGTGCGTTGGTGTTTTAGTCACATATTACCATTGTTGGATGGCTTTTAAATATAATCAAATTAATCTTAGGAATAAAGAACAGTGATATGACACATTCCGTGTTTTTCCTGTGAGTGAGGTGGTGTGTGTGTGTCCTTGAAATGACTTTAGAGAAAGACGACGTGAGAGCTCCAGTCAACATAACTGCTTTATTGATATACACAGTAAAGCATTTTATAATACAGTAGTAAGGCATATATTTGGTGGAATTTGATATGTTGTGAAACAAATGAGTTATTGAAAATGATGGATAATACAACTCAAGGGTTAGAAATGAATAATACAGTGTCTTGGATTAAATAACTATTATCTTTGATCATGCTGCTATACCGTGGTGCAAAAGAAAAGTGAAGAATACCTTCAATTGGTTGGATTTTAAATAAGCATGGGTATATTTAATCAACTGTGATTGCACACACTGATAACGCCCCACACGATGCAATTCCATAAAGGAAAAATATATATATTTAATGCAACACACAAACAAAACAAATGCATTATCACGCAGAAGATCAACTCTAGTCTGTCCAGGATGGATAACTGTAGTGTAACCTGGTCTGGTTTCCTTAACATGTCTGACATTTCATTTCTACATCTTAATGAACCGCTAAGGACAGTACAGTGTATGTATCTGAACACATTCAGATTGGAGGGAGTCACTCCTCAATTTCAAAACATGGATGGATTCTTTTAGATGGCATCCAACTACAGTAAAATATGTTCTCCACTTTCCTAGGAAGGGAAATAGGGGATTGATCAGAAAGAAAAATAAATAGTGACAGTTGGGTTTTGACCAATTCAAACGAGGTAGAGATTGCATTACTGGGCGTTCTAGAATAATACACTTGTATCTTAAAACACGCCCAATTACACTAGGAGAGAACTCAGATCAAATCAAATAGATTTCAAATCAATTAAATAATCTCAGGATTACAAACAGCTGAATTTCACACTGTACTGTAGTTCTATTTCAAGTGGTATTAAATTCAAATACAATTCCTTAATCCTACAAATCCAGTATTAATAGGTATTACAACAGCAGTATTACTTTCTTTCTGTCAGTGTTAAAGGCCCAATTCTTAATTTGAAAAACAACAAAGACGGCTCTAAATATCCCAGATTGGACCTTTCAGTATGTGCTCTATGGGTCCTCATGGCAGATTCAACACATAGGAGTGGACCAGAGCTGCAGTGAATGCAGGCCAAGGGCATAATATCATAATATGATAATCAACTAGACACTACTAAAGAAAAAGATGACTGATGACCTATGGATGGATGATTTGATAAACAACATGAGGTGCATCAGCCCAAAGCAAAAGCTATAATGCCATGTGGAAATTAGATACCTTCACACACACACGTCACACATACACAGCCTCGCGTACCAACACACACACACACACAAACGTGCATACATACACACAGTCAGTCAGTCTACGCTGAAAGGGTACAGGACGACTGCATTGCCTTTACAGTATATAATATTTTGTTATAATAAACATAGTTTTGTAATATAAAGCACCCTTATGTTTACAATCTTTCTTTTTGATACAAATGTTGTGAAATGCACTCCAAAGAAAGAAATGGAAATACATTCACAAGATTTACACACAGACTTTTTCTTTCTCTTATGTTTTATACAATTGCATAGAAGTTTAAAAACCTGCCTTTTGTTAATAAAACCATTTTCAATACTTTTAAGAAACTACTGAAATCTACAAGTTTTGTAACGGTGATCCTTCACAAAAATATATGTATTTTTCTCTTTGTAAACGTGTCCAATCCAGTTGTTTTGACTAGAAAAGCATGCGTGGGGGTTGGTTGGGGAGGGGGTGAGGGGCGGGTCCTCGTCTGCCGCTATTCGCCGCTCTGTTCGTCCGTCATCACGTTGACCAATGACTCCATGGCTCGACCCAGGTCATCTGCCATGTGGAACAGACTGCCTACACTCAGTCCTGGAGAGGAGAGACAGAAGGGACCGTCAGACAGACTAACAGACAGACATACACACACTCTCACCCAAATATTAAACACTCATGAATGCATATCTTAAAATACTAAAGTAAACAATCCCACCCCACCCCCTGGAACACACACAAAAAATACACCAACAATCCCACCCACTGGAACACACACAAAATACACCAACAATCCCACCCTCTGGAACACACATAAAAACACCAACAATCCCACCCCCTGGAACACACATAAAATACACCAACAATCCCACCCTCTGGAACACACACAAAATACACCAACAATCCCACCCCCTGGAACACACACAAAATACACCAACAATCCCACCCTCTGGAACACACATAAAAAACACCAACAATCCCACCCCCTGGAACACACATAAAATACACCAACAATCCCACCCCGTGGAACACACATAAAATACACCAACAATCCCACCCTCTGGAACACACATAAAATACACCAACAATCCCACCCCCTGGAACACACACAAAATACACCAACAATCCCACCCCACCCCCTGGAACACACACAAAATACACCAACAATCCCACCCCCTGGAACACACATAAAATACACCAACAATCCCACCCTCTGAAACACACATAAAATACACCAAAAATCCCACTCCCTGGAACACACATAAAATACACCAACAATCCCACCCTCTGGAACACACATAAAATACACCAACAATCCCACCCCACCCCCTGGAACACACACAAAATACACCAACAATCCCACCCCCTGGAACACACATAAAATACACCAACAATCCCACCCCCTGGAACACACATAAAATACACCAACAATCCCACCCCCTGGAACACACATAAAATACACCAACAATCCCACCCTCTGGAACACACATAAAATACACCAACAATCCCACCCCCTGGAACACACACAAAATACACCAACAATCCCACCCCCTGGAACACACACAAAATACACCAACAATCCCACCCCCTGGAACACACACAAAATACACCAACAATCCCACCCCACCCCCTGGAACACACACAAAATACACCAACAATCCCACCCCACCCCCTGGAACACACACAAAATACACCAACAATCCCACCCCCTGGAACACACATAAAATACACCAACAATCCCACCCCTTGGAACACACATAAAATACACCAACAATCCCACCCTCTGGAACACACATAAAATACACCAACAATCCCACCCCCTGGAACACACACAAAATACACCAACAATCCCACCCCCTGGAACACACACAAAATACACCAACAATCCCACCCCACCCCCTGGAACACACACAAAATACACCAACAATCCCACCCCACCCCCTGGAACACACACAAAATACGCCAACAATCCCACCCCCTGGAACACACATAAAATACACCAACAATCCCACCCCCTGGAACACACATAAAATACACCAACAATCCCACCCCACCCCCTGGAACACACATACAATACACCAACAATCCCACCCCACCCCCTGGAACACACATAAAATACACCAACAATCCCACCCGCTGGAACACACATCAAATACACCAACAATCCCACCCTCTGGAACACATATAAAATACACCAACAATCCCACCCCTTGGAACACACATAAAATACACCAACAATCCCACCCTCTGGAACACACATCAAATACACCAACAATCCCACCCTCTGGAACACATATAAAATATACCAACAATCCCACCCCCTGGAACACACATAAAATACACCAACAATCCCACCCTCTGGAACACACACAAAATACACCAACAATCCCACCCCACCCCCTGGAACACACACAAAATACACCAACAATCCCACCCTCTGGAACACACATAAAATATACCAACAATCCCACCCCCTGGAACACACATAAAATACACCAACAATCCCACCCTCTGGAACACACACAAAATACACCAACAATCCCACCCCACCCCTTGGAACACACACAAAATACACCAACAATCCCACCCTCTAGAACACACACAAAATACACCAACAATCCCACCCCCTGGAACACACGTAAAATACACCAACAATCCCACCCCCTGGAACACACATAAAATACACCAACAATCCCACCCCACCCCCTGGAACACACATAAAAGACACCAACAATCCCACCCCACCCGCTGGAACACACATAAAATACACCAACAATCCCACCCCACCCCCTGGAACACACATAAAATACACCAACAATCCCACCCGCTGGAACACACATAAAATACACCAACAATCCCACAACACCCCCTGGAACACACATAAAATACACCAACAATCCCACCCTCTGGAACACACACAAAATACACCAACAATCCCACCCCCTGGAACACACATAAAATACACCAACAATCCCACCCCACCCCCTGGAACACACATAAAATACACCAACAATCCCACCCCACCCCCTGGAACACACACAAAATACACCAACAATCCCACCCTCTGGAACACACATAAAATACACCAACAATCCCACCCCCTGGAACACACACAAAATACACCAACAATCCCACCCCCTGGAACACACACAAAATACACCAACAATCCCACCCCCTGGAACACACACAAAATACACCAACAATCCCACCCTCTGGAACACACATAAAATACACCAACAATCCCACCCCACCCCCTGGAACACACATAAAATACACCAACAATCCCACCCCACCCCCTGGAACACACATAAAATACACCAACAATCCCACCCCACCCCCTGGAACACACACAAAATACACCAACAATCCCACCCTCTGGAACACACATAAAATACACCAACAATCCCACCCTCTGGAACACACATAAAATACACCAACAATCCCACCCCCTGGAACACACACAAAATACACCAACAATCCCACCCCCTGGAACACACATAAAATACACCAACAATCCCACCCCCTGGAACACACATAAAATACACCAACAATCCCACCCCCTGGAACACACATAAAATACACCAACAATCCCACCCTCTGGAACACACATAAAATACACCAACAATCCCACCCCCTGGAACACACACAAAATACACCAACAATCCCACCCCCTGGAACACACACAAAATACACCAACAATCCCACCCCACCCCCTGGAACACACACAAAATACACCAACAATCCCACCCCACCACCTGGAACACACACAAAATACACCAACAATCCCACCCCCTGGAACACACATAAAATACACCAACAATCCCACCCCTTGGAACACACATAAAATACACCAACAATCCCACCCTATGGAACACACATAAAATACACCAACAATCCCACCCCCTGGAACACACATAAAATACACCAACAATCCCACCCCCTGGAACACACATAAAATACACCAACAATCCCACCCCCTGGAACACACATTAAATACACCAACAATCCCACCCTCTGGAACACACATAAAATACACCAACAATCCCACCCCCTGGAACACACACAAAATACACCAACAATCCCACCCCCTGGAACACACACAAAATACACCAACAATCCCACCCCACCCCCTGGAACACACACAAAATACACCAACAATCCCACCCCACCCCCTGGAACACACACAAAATACGCCAACAATCCCACCCCCTGGAACACACATAAAATACACCAACAATCCCACCCCTTGGAACACACGTAAAATACACCAACAATCCCACCCCACCCCCTGGAACACACATAAAATACACCAACAATCCCACCCCACCCCCTGGAACACACATACAATACACCAACAATCCCACCCCACCCCCTGGAACACACATAAAATACACCAACAATCCCACCCGCTGGAACACACACAAAATACACCAACAATCCCACCCCTTGGAACACACATAAAATACACCAACAATCCCACCCTCTGGAACACACATCAAATACACCAACAATCCCACCCTCTGGAACACATATAAAATATACCAACAATCCCACCCCCTGGAACACACATAAAATACACCAACAATCCCACCCTCTGGAACACACACAAAATACACCAACAATCCCACCCCACCCCCTGGAACACACACAAAATACACCAACAATCCCACCCTCTGGAACACACATAAAATATACCAACAATCCCACCCCCTGGAACACACATAAAATACACCAACAATCCCACCCTCTGGAACACACACAAAATACACCAACAATCCCACCCCACCCCTTGGAACACACACAAAATACACCAACAATCCCACCCTCTAGAACACACACAAAATACACCAACAATCCCACCCCCTGGAACACACGTAAAATACACCAACAATCCCACCCCACCCCCTGGAACACACATAAAAGACACCAACAATCCCACCCCACCCGCTGGAACACACATAAAATACACCAACAATCCCACCCCACACCCTGGAACACACATAAAATACACCAACAATCCCACCCGCTGGAACACACATAAAATACACCAACAATCCCACAACACCCCCTGGAACACACATAAAATACACCAACAATCCCACCCTCTGGAACACACACAAAATACACCAACAATCCCACCCGCTGGAACACACATAAAATACACCAACAATCCCACCCCACCCCCTGGAACACACATAAAATACACCAACAATCCCACCCCACCCCCTGGAACACACACAAAATACACCAACAATCCCACCCTCTGGAACACACATAAAATACACCAACAATCCCACCCCCTGGAACACACACAAAATACACCAACAATCCCACCCCCTGGAACACACACAAAATACACCAACAATCCCACCCTCTGGAACACACATAAAATACACCAACAATCCCACCCCACCCCCTGGAACACACATAAAATACACCAACAATCCCACCCCACCCCCTGGAACACACATAAAATACACCAACAATCCCACCCCACCCCCTGGAACACACACAAAATACACCAACAATCCCACCCTCTGGAACACACATAAAATACACCAACAATCCCACCCTCTGGAACACACATAAAATACACCAACAATCCCACCCCCTGGAACACACACAAAATACACCAACAATCCCACCCCCTGGAACACACACAAAATACACCAACAATCCCACCCCCTGGAACACACACAAAATACACCAACAATCCCACCCTCTGGAACACACATAAAATACACCAACAATCCCACCCCACCCACTGGAACACACATAAAATACACCAACAATCCCACCCCCACCCCCTGGAATACACACAAAATACACCAACAATCCCACCCTCTGGAACACACATAAAATACACCAACAATCCCACCCCACCCCCTGGAATACACATAAAATACACCAACAATCCCACCCCACCCCCTGGAACACACACAAAATACACCAACAATCCCACCCCCTGGAACACACACAAAATACACCAACAATCCCACCCTCTGGAACACACATAAAATATACCAACAAATATGAGAGAAATAGAGAGGAATGGGGAAGTGGAATGAAATAAAGAGAAGAGAGGAGAGGAGAGGAGAGGAGAGGAGAGGAGAGGAGAGGAGAGGAGAGGAGAGGAGAGGAGAGGAGAGGAGAGGAGAGGAGAGGAGAGGAGAGGAGAGGAGAGGAGAGGAGAGGAGAGGAGAGGAGAGGAGGGAGAGGAGAGGAGGGTACAGTAGATAGGGCTGGCAACCCCACTGACCTCTCATTGCTTTCCCCTTGGACCTCCTGGCTCACAGAAACAGAACAGGGAAGCAGTGTGGAAATAAAGAGAAAGGAGGGAACAATCAGAGGGCTGAGAGGAAAAGGGTCCATGTACTCCAAGAGGTCAGTCAAACTCTAGAATTGACAACAGTACTCAAGATATGCCACTGAGGCTGATCCTACTGTTTAGATCATTAGGAGAATGAACCTCTGGATTGTAGTTCTAATATGAGGTGATGTGTGCATCTGTGGAAATTGCTTTAGTGAGTAGGATGTCCGTGTGTGTGTGTGTTTGTGTGTGTGTCTGTGTGTATGTGCGTCCTACCTTGGCTGTGGGGGAAGGAGTGGTTTAGCTGCTCCATCACCTCCTCTAGCCCCGATGCATCTTGGGACGGACTCGACAGCTCATCGTCACCTGCAGCAAAGAAAATTTGACTTCTTCAGGTTAGTACAAAGACTTCATACGAAAACGTATTTTTAAAACCAGTATACAACCTGACCATAGCGTCACAAAATATGACATTATAACAACCAGTTTGGTCCACTGGGCTCATAGCTTGTGGTATTGTGTTAAGTGGAGTTCCAGTCTCACCCATGGTCTCTGTGGTCTGGCTGCCTGCTACACGCATCAGGGGCAGACTGGTGTCAGAGCGCTGGGACGAGGTGGAGGGAGAGGACAGGGCTGTACCGTTCACCTTGGAGTCAGTCTGGAGATAGATACAGGCATTATAACACACACTCATCAGTCTGGAGATAGATACAGGCATTATAACACACGCTCATCAGTCTGGAGATAGATACAGGCATTATAACACACACTCATCAGTCTGGAGATAGATACAGGCATTATAACACACACTCATCAGTCTGGAGATAGATACAGGCATTATAACACACACTCATCAGCCTGGAGATAGATACAGGCATTATAACACACACTCATCAGTCTGGAGATAGATACACTATATATACAAAGGTGTGTGGAAACCCCTTCAAATGAGTGGATTCGGCTATTTCAGCCACACCCGTTGCTGACAGGTGTATAAAATCGAGCACACCACCATGCAATCTCCATAGACAAACATTGGCAGTAGAATGGCCTTACTGAAGAGCTCAGTGACTTTCAATGTGGCACCGTCATAGGATGCCACCTTTCCAACAAGTCAGTTTGTCAAATTTCTGCCTTGCTAGAGCTGCCCCGGTCACTGTAAGTGCTGTTATTGTGAAGTGGAAACGTCTAGGAGCAACAACGGCTCAGCCGCGAAGTGGTAGGCCACACAAGCTCACAGAACGGGACCGCCGAGTGCTGAAGCGCTTAGTGCGTAAAAATCGTCTGTCCTCGGTTGCAAAACTCACTACCGAGTTCCAAACTGCCTCTGGAAGCAACGTCAGCACAAGAACTGTTCGTTGGGAGCTTCATGAAATAGGTTTCCATGGCCGAGCAGCCGCACACAAGCCTAAGATCACCATGCGCAATGCCAAGCATCAGCTGGAGTGGTGTAAAGCTCGCCGCCATTGGACTCTGGAGCAGTGGAAACACGTTCTCTGGAGTGATGAATCATGCTTCACCATCTGGCAGTCAGACGGACGAATCTGGTTTTGGCGGATGCCAGGAGAACGCTACCTGCCCGAATGCATAGTGCCAACTGTAAAGTTTGGTGGAGGAGGAATAATGGTCTGGGGCTGTTTTTCGTGGTTTGGGCTAGGCCCCTTAGTTCCAGTGAAGGGAAATCTTAACTCTATAGCATACAATGACATTCTAGACGATTCTGTGCTTCCAACTTTGTGGCAACAGTTTGGGGAAGACCCTTTCCTGTTTCAGAATGACAATGCTCCCGTGCACAAAGCGAGGTCCATACAGACATGGTTTGTCGAGATAGGTGTGGAAGAACTTGACTGGCCTAAACAGAGCCCTGACCTCAACCCCATTGAACATCTTTGGGATGAATTGGAACACCGACTGCGAGCCAGGCCTAATCGTCCAACATCAGTGCCCGACCTCACTAATGCTCTTGTGGCTAAATGGAAGCAAGTCCCCGCAGCAATGTTCCAACATCTAGTGGAAAGCCTTCCCAGAAGAGTGGAGGCTGTTATAGCAGCAAAGTGGGGACCAACTCCATATTAATGCCCATGATTTTGGAATGAGATGTTGGACGAGCAGGTGTCCACATACTTTTGGTCGTGTAGATAGATAGATAGATAGATAGATAGATAGATAGATAGATAGATAGATAGATAGATGGACAGACAGACAGACAGATAGACAGTCATTTTCACTGGTTTTGGAATCTGAGTGTGTCTGGTGTGATCTGGTGTGTGTGTGTGCTTGCGTGTGTGTGTGTGTGTATACTGTATGTGTGTGTGTCTGTGTGTACAGTGTGTGTGTGTTTTAGTACCTGTTCCAGTAGTTGTCTGAGCCGGTGTAGCTGTGACTCCAGTTGTTTGTTATGGTCCTCCAGGATCTGCATGCGGGCCTCCAGCCGTCCTTTGTGCTGTCTCAGCAGTTTGGCCTCAGCGATCAGCTCGGCGTCCCGTGGGCTCTGGGGCGAAGCGGGCAGCATCTCCGGGGGTGAGGGGAGCGGGGACAGGCCCTTGTGGTCGTGGGCCTTCTTCAACTTGTCATACTCCGCCTGTAGCTTCCTGAGAGGGAGCGGACAGCAGTTAAGAGCGCTGGGTCAGTAACCGAAAGGTCGCTGGTTCGAATCCCCGAGCCGACTAGGTGAAATATCTGTCTGTGCCCTTGAGCAAGGCACTTGACCCTAATTGTTCCTGTAGTCTCTCTGGCTAAGAGTGTCTGCTAAATGACTAACGTGTAAATGTACACAATGGGACTCAGCTCTAGCCTGAAATCCAGAACCAGTTTCCTAACGTTCCACTCCTTGTACTCCGTGATATGCCAAGGAGTTGAATAATAACTCAAACAGACTGGTACCCAGGCTAACTCCGCTCAGTCTAGTCAATTCATCCATCAATCAATCAAATGTTTTTTTATATAGCCCTCTTTACAACAACATCCGGCACAAAGTGCTTTACAGTAACCCATCCTAGACCCAAAGGGCAAAGAAAACCCCCACTATCAACCCAGTTTCCACTAGTTACCACAGCCACAAAGTCCAGATTGGCTTATTCGTAAAAATTCATGATAACAAAAAGTAGCTTTTTTGTCTTAATTTAAGGTTAGGATTAGGCATAAGGTTAGCAGTGGGGTTAAGGTTAGGGTTGAGGTTAGGTTTAAAATCAGATTTTAAGAAGACACATTTTTTAAATAGGCAGGGTTTATGACTTTGTGGCTGTGGTAACTAATGACGACCTATCAACCCACAAGACAACCGTAAACCGACTGTCTGACACAATTGTAGAGTCGGTCTGGATCCAACATGAACGTTCGATAGTGAAGCTTGTCTATATCAGTTTGTCTGTCTTGGGATCAGTTGGTATGAATGTGTCACACTGTTCCCCTCACCTGTTGTCTGACTCCAGGTCGTTGAGCACCCTCTCCAGGTCACCCTTCTCTTCACTCTCCATGGAGATGAGGATCTGGGCGGGGCTGCGTGGATGGCTGAGGGGAGAACCCTGGTTCAGACTCTGACAGTAGTGTTGGATCAACAGGTGTTCATCATCACTACAGTGATAGAAGGATGGAGAGAGGGAGTGGGAGGGGGGGGGGACATACACACAGAGAAAGGTTGCTATTAGCTGGCAGTCACACCTAACAGCCTCACAACGGCCAGCCAGTCAACTAACAACATTCATTATCAGCGCAACAAAGAGAGCGAGAGGGAGGGAGAGACAGAGGGAAGGAGAGAGAGACAGAGGGGAAGGGAGAGAGAGAGAGACAGAGGGAGGGAGAGAGAGACAGAGGGAGGGAGAGAGAGACAGAGGGAGGGAGAGAGAGACAGAGGGAGGGAGGGAGAAGAGAGAGGGAGAGAGAGACAGAGGGAAGGACAGAAGAGAGAGACAGAGGGAAGGATAGGAGAGAGAGAGAGACAGAGGGAGAGAGGGAAGAAGAGGACAGAGGGAGGAGAGAGCGGAGAGACAGAGGAGGACAGAGACGAGAAGAGAGAGGAGAGAAGACAGAGGTGGAGAGATAGAGAGATAAGAGAGAGGGAGAGACAGAGGAGAGAGAGAAGAGGAGGGAAGAGAGAGACAGAGGAGAGACAGAGGGAATGAGAGAGAGACAGAGGGAGAGAGAGAGAGAGACAGAGGGAAGGAGAGAGACAAGAGGGAGGGAGAGAGAGAGACAGAGGGGAGCAAACCAGCTATAAGATGTAGATAAATGGACACATTTACCACAGATTGTTGTTCATTATTCAATTATATATTTGATTCAATTCCATGTAAGTTCAATTATCCCCTCTGACAAAAACCTATCCTTTGAGATGTAGACCTTTTGGCTTGGGGGTAGGGTTAAAGTTCAGATATAATTCTGGCTGTACTGTAGATGGCTAGCGAAAATGGAGACAGTAATGGAATAGTTTCAATTCAACATATCCAGCATGTGCTGGGCTCTCTCTCTCTGTCTCTCTGTCTCTCTCTCAGTGAATAGTTGTAATAATCGCAGGTATCCCACTTCTCAGTCCTTAAGCCTCTAACGCTTGTTCTGCGCTCTGAGAAAGGACTTATCAAATATATGTTAAGAGAGCTTTTGTGTACACAGACAGGGATTGGAGGAAGCAGCCAATGTTAGAAGAACATCCACAGATGATTCTCTATAGTTCACTGATAAAGCCTGACAGGGCAACACTTTATTTGGATTGATCCCTACAGATGGTCTATAGATGCTCAAACTGCAGCTGTGTTGATATTCAGCGTGCTCGGTTTAGTGGCTAGCTAGATGAACAGTTTGTTGAGAGTTAGTTGAACCTTTAAAAACCATCCGTAGGGGTCTCTCCAAGCGTTAGCCATGACTGCTCTAGACATAACCCACCTCACAGAGACAACACAGCTTCATACGTAACCAACTGAGCCAATTCACAAAGCAAGCCAAACAACGACAGGATTTAAAGAGGAAGGGGTGGGCTCACATGCTCTCATTGGGTGAGATACTGTCATTCAGATAAGATCCATTACGGTTCTCCATTTCAGCTAACCTGTGGGGGGAGACACATTCATTTCAGTAGTCACATTCCACTCATTTCACTACCATTTGTACAGAAGGAGCAGCATTGTTGAAATCTCTATTGTTCCTGGGCAATTCAGTGGCAGACCCTGGACTCTGGGGTGAATACCATCTCTATTGTTCCTGGGCAATTCAATGGCAGACTCTGGACTCTGGGGTGAATACCTTGGTGCAAGCCTCAGGCAAACGGTTACAGGGTAAAGATTCACTAGAGTTTAGTAAACAAGGGGAGAAAAACCTTTACTGAAGGTGGATTCAGCATTGCGCGAGAATGCCTGTTTGTATCTGGTTGTAACTAGGTCTAAAGTTCAACATTAAGTGAGTGAGTCTATACTCTCAGACACAGTAACTCTACAGTCAATCAGTAGGTGAGAGACTGGAGTCTAACTACGTAAATACATGTGAGTGTTGTGTCTTTATCTTACCGGCTGGCGTAATGCTCGATGCGTGAATGGGTGTCGTCATGGGAGAGTTGGGGGGAGGACGCAGGCCTACAGACGGGAGGGAGGGGGAGAGAGAGGGAGAGAGAGAGAGAGAGAGAGAGAGAGAGAGAGAGAGAGAGAGAGAGAGAGAGAGAGAGAGAGAGGAGAGAGAGAGAGAGAGAGAGAGAGAGAGAGAGAGAGAGAGA